TCGCGGTGGAATCAGATATTCAAAAAATTTTAGTTACTCAATTAGGTTAGATTTTAAGAAGGATTGTACTACTTGAACTTAAAATAAGGACTTAATTAATTACGCAACCATTGAATAGGTAATGAGACTCGATAAATACCGTGATCCACAATTAAAACAATATTAGGGGTTTGTGACTGGGAACCCACAAATTGATCTGTCCAGCACATTTTTGGTGCATAACGATGCACAGAAATGTTTTTTAAGCTGTGTGATAATGTTTCATTCATCAATTTTGGTACATGAGTTTGAATTTTGGTTGTTAATACCGCTTATCCTAGTGAGTTTTACGAATCCATTGGACCAGAAGCTTCTCAAACTCAAGCAAATACTTGTTTAGTCAGAGACCGCTTATCCTAGTGAGTTTTACGAATCCATTGGGCCAGAAACTTCTCAAACTCAACCAAATACTTGTTTAGTCAGAGACCGTGTTGGGACTAAGGTGAAACCCACTCTAAGACCTACCAGTTTAGGTAAATATTTAATACATTCCCGAAGGAAAAGTCATTTTTGGAGGAGATATCAGCCATATATGTAGACCCCTTGGGATTTATTATTAATTACACCCTCGTTCGAAAGATAACAGAGATCTCTGAAATTTCTCACCTGATAACTCTATTTGTTTCCTTGTCTCTACCTAAAGTTCGATGAACAATATCCGATGGTAGACGTTGTCACACTGTCCCGGCAACTGGCAACGCCACACTTCCCGGTTATCCAAATGGAAAACCCGGAGGCCGGAGTTGATGGACTCTAAAGCTTAAGCCAATCCAAGTTTTCCATCTGGTATATCAGTCACATTCCACCACAAAGTTCACCGTGAAGCCAACGGTAAATTAAGAGTAGATATTGGCTCATGAACGAGCTAAGTCTAAGACATTGCGACAAAAAAATTTCCAGGTACCATCATAAGTAAACCTCGTGGTGAATACCCAAGTTCAGCGGTTTCAGCCTCACCTCCCCTAGCACTAGAAAATGTGATATAAATTCTAATTACCAAACAGAAGGGTAGGGGGAAGAGAGGGAGAGGGGGGAGGGGGGAGGGGCGGGGAGTAATAACCACATACAAAATACCCCCGACACTTCAATCTTGCAAACCAAGAATACCAAATAAACCAATTAAGTTGGAAGCAAATTATTTCATTAACAGCCTGAAACATCTGATAAATGATGGCAATAAGTTTACAAATTTTTTTATCCTTGTCTGCAGTCAAAGATTTCAACAAAGTAAATCAAATTAATAGACGGAATACAACCAACCTCAATACCTATCAAAATTTGGAATATCAAAGTTCAATAAAAGGGTCAAGACCTGTCTTCACTCCTAAACAATGGCATTGGCTGCACTAGCAATCCTTGGCCACAGGTCAGCGCACTCCTTCCCAATTGGACCAGTAATAGCAGACCCTAAAATGACAATGACATAACTAGTAAGATAAAACACAGCATCTGGGCATTCGAGCAGAGGGAACAAAAAGGAACTGGATAAATCATAAATTCAAGATTAGGCTTTAGAATTTATTTTAGTATAATTTTGTAATATACAAACAATTTGTCTATTACTCTTCTGTTCCTTTTTAGTAAAGTGTTTTTAGCGTTTCCTTTTAAATAGGACTTACATGTAACGTATTAAAAAGTTGAATACTGAATGAAATGTTGAACTGTATTTGAAGTGTTCTAATCTATTTTTTCTGCTGGCTATAATTAATTGATTTTATTGCTTTCTTTCCTTCTTTTGGAGCAATTTTTTCTTCCCCTTGCACTACCATCAGGAAGTCTAACAGGCCTCAGCAGATTCTATATCTTACAATCAAAATTCAGGCTTGTCCTGGACATTTGTAAGGGCCGTACTCAAATGAATCAACAACGCAAACAAAAGACATATGGTTCTTTTCCTGCTTAAAAGTTTTCCATACCTTTCATTTCCCCCTTTGGATTCACAATGACACCAGCATTATCTGCAAAAATAAACAACAGCCAAATTAAGAACACAGTAAAACATCTCGCATTAAAAGGCCAAAAGAAGATACTTCAATTTTTTCCTATAAAACCTCAATTGGCAATCAATAAGAACAAGTTGAAAAGATTTAAATCACAATATGCTCAAACCATAGGTTTCTCTATTGAAAAATTATGACTACTGTTGCCTAGTTTCAGTGTAATAACATTAGATAAAAATCACTGACATAATCCTTATCTGATGTTATACTTCACTGAAACAATATAAGTCTGATCATGCATTTAGCTTAACAAGGGGAGCTCAAAATAATCAAGATGTTTATTTAACTCTATGAAGTGAAACATACTTTCTTTGCTTAGGAAGCATAGAGAAATAATATCCTCCGAAGAATATCATACTTCGGTGAGAAATTCAAAGTATGGTTTGATGTATCACCCAAATGGAGCAGATGTGAGCTTAACAAGCATTATTACATCTGTAACGAGGGGCACCAGTTGATTTCCCAGACATGTAGCCGTATCAACCAAAGAATATGGAAGTAGACACCTGACTTATGTCTGGTAATAAATCATGAATTTGAACATCTAGGTCTAAAATCAAGAACTCAATGCAACATATACCTCCACAAGCCAAACGTAAATGAATCTAACTTATCAAATCACCAAGTTTACATGGAGATGGTAGCATAATCCAACACCTCAGTCAGTATATTAATGGAGAGAGTTTTTCTTTTTTGAAGAAAAAGGGCACATTACCTCCTCTATTCCAAAAATACACATGCAATAACCACATCATATCCTCAAGAAAATTAGACATAAGGGAAAGGTATATTTTTTAGGCCCAAGTGGAGCAGATGTTAGATGGATGCCTGGACGACAACACGACATCTGTATCAATAGACACTAGCAATCTTCCAGACTAGTAACTGTATCAACCATCGAATATAGCGAGTCAAAATCTGATTTATTTCTAGTGATACGAACATGCTACCACTATCACGATAAATTACAAGATCCTGAGTATGGGGTCATTTTGTAAAATGCTATATCATTGCTTCGTTTTTGAAGTTTTTTGACATGAGAAAATAGGACAAACATGGTATCATAATCTTAGAAGCAGTAGAAAACATTTACTTTGGCCGAGTGGAGAAGAATTGAGTTTGAGATTTAAGATAGGCTCATAAGCATGAGATCCTATGACTTCACTAGCAAAATCAAGTAGGTAGAAGAATTATAATGTACTGAATTCCGGAATTCCATGGTCAATAAAACAAGAATAAATGATTTACGGCCAGGAACTAATACCATAACAAAATTTGAAATTCCTCACTTAGATAGTGTGTACTGACATCAACCACTTGTTACAAAATACGACTCAATGAATGGAAGTGTGCTTATTTTAGGGAACCCTGAAGACGACTCAAGGTTCCACTGATTTGACCAACCGTAGACAACAAAGACCAACCCTTGGAAATTTAAAAAAAAAAAAAGGAAAGAAGGCAAACACAAAAGTATGTCAACCTTGACAGAGATGACAACCTAAGTTATCATCTAACATATAGGGGAAGATTGGCTCTCTGAATTTAGCTGGGTGTGGGAAGTGCAGAGAAACCCAATATAACATTATTCTCAACACCACATTGCCAGCAAATTCAACCAAGACCAAAAAGACAGCCCACTCACTTGTTATAACATAAGGCTCAATGAATGTAAGTTTGCTTATTCTAGGGAACCCTGAAGACGACTCAGGGTTCCACTGATTTGACCAGCCGTAGACAACAAAGACTAACCCTAGGAAATAAAATAAAAGAAAAAGGAAAGAAGGCAAACACAAAAGTATGCCAACCTTGACAGAGATGACAACCTAAGTTATCATCTGACATATAGGGGAAGATTGGCTCTCTGAATTTAGCTGGGTATGGGAAGTGCAGAGAAACCCAATATAAAATTATTCTCAACACCACATTGCCAGCAAATTCAACCAAGACCAAAAAGACAGCCCACTCACTTGTTATAAAATAAGACTCAATGAATGTAAGTGTGCTTATTCTAGGAAACCCTGAATACGACTCAGGGTTCCACTGATTTGAACGTAGACAACAAAGACTAACCCTTGGAAATAAAAAAAAGGGAAATAACAAAGGAAAGAAAGCAAACACAAAAGTATGCCAACCTTGACAGAGATGACAACCAAAGTTATCATCTGACATATAGGGGAAGATTGGCTCTCTGAATTTAGCTGGGTATGGGAAGTGCAAAGAAACCCAATATAAAATTATTCTCAACACCACATTGCCAGCAAATTCAACCAAGACCAAAAAGACAGCCCACTCACTTGTTATAAAATAAGACTCAATGAATGTAAGTGTGCTTATTCTAGGAAACCCTGAATACGACTCAGGGTTCCACTGATTTGAACGTAGACAACAAAGACTAACCCTTGGAAATAAAAAAAAGGGAAATAACAAAGGAAAGAAAGCAAACACAAAAGTATGCCAACCTTGACAGAGATGACAACCAAAGTTATCATCTGACATATAGGGGAAGATTGGCTCTCTGAATTTAGCTGGGTATGGGAAGTGCAAAGAAAGCCAATATAACATTATTCTCAACACCACATAGCCAGCAAATTAAACCAAGACCAAAAAGACAGCTCACTTAAAGCCTCTCTGAAGTACAGAGATAATGGCAAAGACATAGGGGGAAGAGGGAATTGTAGGGAGAGGGTAAAAGGGAAGAAAGGCAAGCAACATGAATTGAATGTTATGCAGCACAGATACGGATACAACAATCCAGTAAAACCTAAAAAATAGGATTCGGATGCAGTTAGGATACGTCCAAGCCATATTGGATACATATCCGGCCATATCAGATGCGTATCCGTATCCGGGAAATATCCGATACCAATACTTTGACCCGTTTGAAGTATTCGCGCTTCGTAGATTGGATGTATCAAACCGTGACAAAGCGAAATTCAAGCAAAAGAGAACCCACTCGATCTTATGATCGACAATATTTTTATTTTGCTGGTCTCAGGAAGCATCAGATCATCATGCATACACAACCCTTTGAGTGAGAAATGCACACATCACATCGCTACTAAACCAGCCCATCTTAGCCCAATAAGCATTACAGCAATGGTTACCAGTTGCAAAATTGTGAGTTCCAATCTGATGGCAACTATTGGATCCAAATACGCCAAAACAAAAGTTAGGGTTGTGCACCTTCAACCTCTCCAGATCAGAGGAGGTATCAACCTTCTAGAGGAGATTTTGTGCCACCCTAAAATCTCAATACATTTTTTAAGTTTATACATATCAGATAAATGAGCAAAATCTTTATCTACCTAACACAGCCAATGTCAAGAACAAATGGATACAATCATGCAGCAAACTAGTCTACTCATCATACTGAGATAAACATTTGTAAATATAGCAAATCCAAGCATCAAAATTAAATCTAACCCACAAAAACAAAATTGCCAAGCAATCTCAAAAATTCATATTAAAAGCAAAAATAAAGATATAACAGTGACCATGAAACGAAAATGACCTTCGAAGTACATGAAGACACCATCCTTTCGGCGCCAGGGCTTGCGCTGCCGGACAATTACAGCAGGCATGACCTTCTTACGAAGATCAGGCTTGCCTTTCTTCACTGTGGCCATCACCATATCACCAACACAAGCCGAAGGTAACCGGTTCAATCGTCCCTTGATTCCCTTCACCGATATGATGTAGAGGTTCTTCGCCCCGGTGTTATCGGCACAGTTCACCGTCGCCGCCACCGGCAGACCCAGCGACATGCGAAACTTGTTGCCCGCCGATCCTCCACGTCCTACAACCAGTGCAAGGCAAGAAAAACAGATCAATTAAAAGTTTTTCAATTCATTTTCTGTTTGCTTGCTGGTAAACCAGTGGAAAACTCAAGCAAAAAAAATGAACTCACCTCGCTTCGACATTTTCGTCTGCCGAGTGGAGCTGATTAGGGTTTTGAGTGGGATATGTCATTGTTTATATAGACCGAGAAGGGGAGAGAGAGATGAATTAGGGTTTTATTTTTATGGAATTCCGAAATGGACCTTGGTGCTTCGGACCTTTTGGGATCCATGGAGTGAAAGAGTGGGTTGACCCAGGATCCACAACTTTTTGGTGAAGATGGTTGGGTCATTTACAACAAAATAGGCCCATTCGTCCTTAGATTAGGTCCATTGTTTTATGGTCCATAAACCTTCCCTAGTAGGCCCAATAATTTTAGAGACAATTTACAAAAACAACATAAATTTTAATACAGGATTAACGAATTTTAGTGATGAACGCTGGACTTGCTTAATTCATTCAATAAATAATTTGAAAAAAATTCAACTAAAAACAAGACAAACGAAGCTCAACTATGATGGATGCATGATAAAAACTTGTTAACCCATCCATCTTTTATCAAATTGATACTTTACTCTGCCTAAGTTGTACTCTAATCTCCATGCATGACGACTGAGACATGAGGGAGGCAGCATATGCATGGACGCAAACAAGGCTTAGCCATGCGAGCTCCAATTGAGGTGCATTGCAAGTTTAGAAGATCAAGCCATGTGTTGAACATGACTCGGCTTGTAAGCTAGAAAAATTAGATGTTGTAGACTAACAAAGATGGCATGTGCAGATCATGTGGGGTAGTTTTAGACAGCTCATGTGGCAGTTACAAAAGCACAACTACTCCAGCCATTCCTAAATCCTAATGCTTCTAATTGGTTCAACAACCTTGTGGGTGTGTGACAAAACCAGCCACATTATTGAAGACAAATTTGATTGGTTGCCTATAATCTTAGCATTTTAGGGATGGCAATTTGCATGGTTGAGTTGGCCAAAGTTGGTTGATACCAACACTGCTTAGGTGGTTGGGTTGTAACCACCATGTATAGATTTATGTACACATGCTAAAGTTTGCAGTAACCCAAGAGAGTTTAGACACGTTTTGTAAATAGGCCCTTAGCCAGAATCCTGTGTTTGTTGAGAAGTAAAAAGTTAGGTCGTTTTGGCCTATAATCTTGTGTGCCCATTACTTGTCTGATACTTTGTTTCTATAAGCATCTCGTATGTGTTTGGCTAAGACTGAGTGTAGGATCTCAATGTCATCACAAGACAAAAATTCGAGTGTAATTTGACCCAATAACATCTAAAAAGGCATCTATCGACGCACTAGAGTCAGGAAGGAGATAATTTTTGCAAAGCAAATGAGTGAATTTAAATGGTTGGTGAGGAAAATACACTTCCTCCATAGCATGCAATTCCCCGTGTGGAATGGATTTAGAGGCCAATAGACTTATGAAGTGGACAAGAAGTGGCTGTGGAAACTGGTGGTATACAGATGCACCCGAAATGTAGAGGCCCAAATCTTCCTTGTAAGCCACTTCTGACAAACCCGAATGGGCAGGTACTTGAGCTCACCGTCTTGCTGCCTTATCTCAATCATAGGAAATAACCTCACTCAAACAAGGCCTAGAGGAAGATGGCCTGCCCTGCCTTGCTATTGCTAATTTAGTTGTGTTTTGCCTTTGGAACCAAATATAATCTCAATCAATATGACAAAGAAAGGAACAGTTAAGAAAAGGATCAGCAAACAAGTTTTTCAAATAAGAACATAACTTTGCATATCTGACAACTGCAAAAGTATCGATCCAATAACATTTAAAGTTAACAATTAGTGATAAGAGTATCTCATTCAAACAGACTTGAAATAATCGTGAGTGAAAAAGGGATACAAACTAAGTGTAGAGTCCCCGTATATATAGCCAATGAAAGTTACAATAAGGATAAAAAGAAAAAAAAGAGAAAACTTAATAAACTCTAATAAACTAAGTTGTTATATCTCCAACACTCCCCCTCAAGCTAGACGCAAAAATGTCAACTAAGTCAAACTTGATAATAGAGTCTCGAAAAATGGATAGAGTGACAGGTTTGGTGAAAACATTCATAACCTGATCACTAGTCCCCACAAACGATGGAGTGACAATACCACTGCTAACTTTCTCCCGAAGAAAGTGAATATCGATCTCTATATGCTTCGTCCTCTCGTGTAATACAGAATCAGAAGCAAGCTAAATAACAGATCGATTATCACAATATAAAGTAGATGAAGAAGTCACTTGAAGTCCCAACTCCCCAAGAATTGATCGTAACCAGATAATCTCACATGTGCCAAGTGTCAGTGCCCGATACTCTGCCTCTGCTGACGAATGAGAGACAACTAACTGTTTCTTGTTTTTCCAAGAGATAAGATGAGTCCCTCGAAAAGCACAGAAGCTCGTAGTAGAACGATCGTCACATGCTTCCCCATAATCTGAATCGGAATAACAGGCTAGAGAACCAATCTGAGATCTTGATGTATAGAACAACCCAAGTCCAAGACAAGACTTGAGGTATCGAAGAATATGATACACTACATCAAGATGTGGTTGACACGGTCTGTGCATGAACTGACTAACTCGGCTAACAGCGAATGAAATGTCTGACCTAGTGTTGGCTAGGTAGATAAGTCTACCTACCAACCTCTGATAGACAGTCGGATCTCCCAACTTCTCACTTTCAGCAGTAAGCTTTAGGTTTGAAATCATGGGTGATGATGCCGGTTTGCACCCCAGCATCTCAGTGTCTGAGAGAAGGTCCAGAACATACTTTCTCTGAGAAAGAACAATACATCTGCTGCTACGGGCAACCTCAATCCCAAGAAACTATCACAAAAATCCAAGGTCCTTCACATCGAAGGCCTTCTCAAAGTCTACCTTAACCTGCGCAGTCCCAGAAATATCATCTCCAATAATAATAATATCATCAACATATACCAAAAGGATGACACATTGTCTGAAAGTATTTCGTTGAATGAAGCAGGTATGATCAGAATGACATCTAGTGAATCTTAAATGTACAATTACATCACTAAAGCGAGAGAACCAGGCTCGTGGTGACTGTTTCAGTCCATAAATAAACTTACGCAGTCGACAAACCTTTTCAGCATACTCCCCCTCGCCATGAAAGCCCGGTGGTACATCCATATTAAATAATCTCGCCCAGATCACCGTGAAGAAATGCATTCTTCACATCCAACTGATGAAGAGGCCAAGAGTACTCCGCAGCCAGAGAAATTATCAGTCAAATAGTAGTCAATTTTGTCACGGGGGCAAAGGTAGCACCAAAATCACGACCTGGTACCTAAGTAAAGTCCTTCGCCACAAGCCTAGCCTTGCGACGATCAATAGTACTATCTGTAAGAAACTTCAAGGTGTAAACTCAGCGACAGCTAACAGGCTTCACTCCTGAAGGTAAAGAGACAAGATCCCACGTATGATTACGCTGAAGAGCGTCCATCTCTATCTGCATGACAAGAATTCACTAGGGCTCCCGCATAGCCTCTGAAACAGAGCCAGGAACCGGCGCATCTGATAAGGTCATACTATAAGCTTGAAATATAGGAGACAAATCACCATAAGAAACATAAGTAGAGATCAGATATAAAATTCTGGCGGTTCAACCATAACGAACAACTAGACGACGATTACGCTGCGGATAACGACGTCCTAAATCATCATCCTCCACTGATAATGTCTCATCAGGTAAAACAACTGGCTCAGTACCTACAATCTCTTCAGTACTAACAATAGGTGCATCAATATGCTTAACTAACTGAGAAGTATTACCTGCATCGCCTGAGATAAATGGGGCATCAACAGGGGGATAAAAGCGAGAGCGGCGAACATAAACCTGCAAAGGAAGAGAAACTGATGACTCTGTACTGACAGGGATGAGTGGCTTTGGAGGATGAGAGATCGATGACTCTTTAGTGATAGTGACCAATGACTCTAGTTTTGGTGATAATGGAAAATCAAATAGAGTATCATCAACTGGAGGGGCAAACACAGGACTGAAAGAAAAATAAAGAATATGCTCGAGGAAGGTAACATCTAGACTGTGATACATATATCGCCTAACATGATCATAACACTGTTACTCTTTAGACTGATGACAATAGCACACAAAGACACAACAAATCGCTTTATCATCAAGTTTATGACGAGTAGGTGACCGATCCTGAACAAAACATGTGCAACCAAAAATACGAAGGGGGACTGAAAAAAGTGTCCGCTTAGGGAATAAAACCTGCAAGGGGGCCCTATGCTGAAGAACACAACTCGGTGTACGATTGCACAAAAAGGTAGAAGTCAAAACACCAAAATGTCAATAAAATTTTGGTACCCCCATATCTCTAAGCATACAACGTACCATCCTTATCAGACTTCTATTTTTATTTTCAGCAACTCCATTTTGCTTAGGAGTATATAGACAAGTGAGCTGTTGAACGATACCCTGAGAAGAAAGGTGAGACACTAAGGCATCAGACACATATTCTTTGGCATTATCCGAACGAAGAGCACGAACAATGACATCGAACTGTGTTTTAATCATCTGAAGAAATTAAGTGATGACAGGGAGTACATCAGACTTCATATGCAAAAGGTAGACCCAAGTACAACGGGTATGATCATCTATAAATGTTACATAATATTGAGCACCTGACAGAGCAGTAACAGGAGAGAGTCCCCAAATATCCGAGTGTATTAGGTCAAATAGTTTGGGTGACTGGTGCATACGAGGAATATAAGTGGTCTGAACATGTTTTGATAGGGAACATATAACACAGTCAAGTTTACCATTAACACAAGCTTTGCTCAAAGTAGGAAACAAAATACATAAATATTTAAAATTTGTATGTCCAAAACAGTCATGCCATAACTGAACAGTTTGTGATGAAAAATCATAACGACAAGTATTAGATAAAATACTAACATGGAAACTAGGAACAGATAAAGACAAAGCAGGAGATGGAGGTGGAGGTGGAGAAACTGGTGAAACCGGAGGTGGATTGCCTAAATAATACAGTCCATCTCTCTTATGTCCCCTGTTAATAATC